ACAATAGTATACTATTGGTTCGCCTCAACATTGGGCAAAGATGTGGCTGCTGAGGCACATTGTCACAAAGTGGAATAGTGACTTTATATGACTAATCATTTGTATGATCTTAGCTCTAGGAAGTGATTTACATAGCATATCGGAAAATGCAAGAAAGGGAACAAATTTTCATGTTGTCCTATTTCTTTCCTGCTTTATTCAGCTTTTTTGTTGGTGTAGCTGAGCCATTCGCTCGTTTCACAGGCGTCTTTTCGATCCTTTCGTTTGCTTTCTGTGGTTTTGCATCCTTGGAAATTACGTCCTCAAGAGTATTATAATTCTTTGTTGCATAGCAACCATTCATTATAAAAAAGGGCAAATACTTGTGTGCGGAAATATATTATTCCAGAGAGATTAAAAGTTAGCTCACCTTCGAATTTGCCCTTTCTCTGTCCCAGAATTGTCGTAGTTGTCTACGTAGCACTTTGCCACAGATTGTGCGAGGGATTTCAGAAATAAAAAACACGCCTCCTCTTAGCTCTTTGAACGTCGCTATTTTCCCTGAATTTGGCGTAAACTTGGTTAAAGAATGCTATCGACACTAAACTTACCAGATACGTACTGTCTCACTTCGGCGGACGACAGTAGAGGATGTGTTGGGCTCTTTACGACGAACGCGGCCGGCACCTGCTGATTGAATAAGCTCTCAGACAGATTTTATAGAACAACTTGGTCGCGATGACCTAGGGTAATAATCTCTGCAGAACGTACTTCACCAGACACATGATCTTGTCTACCGACAACCGCGCAGTCTTCGATCCCTGGATGAGCTCTGAGCATCAACTCTACTTCTGATGGACAGATCTTCAATGAAAAAATCACGGATTCTTTCTCAAAGTTAGAAAAACCAGTAATATAGGAAAAAATCTTTTTTACCAATGTTCCTTTATATTTGATAATATCCCTAATTCGATCGAGAACATAGATACGGCCTGTTTCATCATAGAATGCCGCGTCACCTTAAATTATTTCACACTGCTTAATGTAGAGAAAGAACTGA